AAGAAGCTTTTTTTTAAAGCATTTCCTTTCATCTGACTTCTATCTTCCACAACATTTAAGGAACGTAGAAGAACAGTCGTGAAAATAATGCCCAAAGACCTTTATAAAATTTAGAATTCTGTTGGGCTCTACAGTGTCACTTAGAGATGGGTGTTAATTCTGTTATTTGTTCTTGTAAAATAATTTCATATCATTACTATCTTTTTTCCATTTTCTTTTTTCTTCTGTCTCAACTTTCATATCTCCTTCCTTCTTTCTTTCTTTTCTTTCTTTCCCTTCCTCCGTTCTTTTATCTTTCCTTTCTTCCTTCTTTCCTCCGTTCTCTCCTTCCCTCTTTGCTTTTTTTTCTTAACTTCCTTCTTCTTATCTCTTTCCTTCTTTTTTTTCCCTTTCTTGCAACCTTAAATCTTCCTACCCTTTTTTATCTGCCTTCCTTCCTCAATATTTTCTTCCTTCTTCGTTCTCTTCCTGTTTCTCTCTCTTCCTCTTTCTCCCCGTTCTTCTCCACTTTTCTCTCCTTTCTTCTTCCTTTTTGCTTTATTCTTCCGTCTTTCTTTCGGCTTTTCTTCCTTACTTTCTTCTTCTATGTCTTTTAATTTAATCTACTGTCTCTGTGCTTGTCTAGAAGGACCTATACCATACTCATGCAAAAATATGCATTGAAAACTGATAAAATCACGAAAAAATCACAATTTAATAACACACCCTCCCCCCTCCCCCCAAAAAAAATATCCAGACAAAACCTACAACTCCCATCCCCCACCCCATCTCCTCCCCAACAATACACACCCAGAACCATATATTGAGTTTGTAAATAACTGCTCTGTTATAAGACCACCCCCCACCCCCCAACAAACCGTTGAAACAAAACAAACTAACAAATAAACAGCTTTCTGAAAAAACAAAAAGTGAACAACATGAACAAAAATAGTAGCAAAATGAAAGCCTTTTCCTTACGTCAGGGAACCTTGACCACTCAGACCCTTCATGGAGGACTTGTCTTGGCAGACACGTCTATAAGACAACAAGTGGGACAAAATACGACAAAAATAGATTTCAAAAACTGGACAAAATTGCACAAAAGTAGGGCCTAAAAAGGAACAAAAATAGGACACAAATAAGACAGAAAAAAAATAAAACAGGAAAAAACAACCCAGAACAAAAAAAAAAAAAACATTAAAAGGCTTGGAACAATTAATCAACAAACTACATTAAAAAATATCTTGATAAAAAAGCAAGAAAAACACAACAAAAACGATTCTCAAAAAGAAAATGTAATGAATTACCTTTTGACCTACCCCAGGAACCAGCTCGGTACAGGCTGCCATACCCACATAGCGGACAGATTCCCTCCTGAAGGTCATGGAGGACTCTTGGCATGAGACCTCTTTATAGGACTAAACTAGGACAAAAATAGGACAATAACAGAGCAAACATAAATAAAAATAGAGCAAAAATGGGGCAGAAAAATATGACAGAAATTGGAGAAAAAAATCAGTTAAAAAAAGCAACGAAAAAAATAAAAAATTCTTTAAACATCACAAAAAGCTTCGAAACTTGTTTTTTTTAAGCCAAAAAAATATAATACAAAATAATGGAACGCATAACTAAACGTTTTACCTTTCTCCCTCCCTCCCACAGGAACCATGCCCACTCAGACAGTGAGCAAGGAGCTCTGTACAGGCTGCCACACCCCCATAGAGGACAGATACCTCCTGAAGGTCATGGATGACTCCTGGCATGAGACCTGTCTACAGTGCGCCCTCTGTCGGGCCCCGCTCACTGGATCTTGCTTCTCTAGGGATCGGAAGTTTTACTGCAAACACGATTATGACAAGTAAGTGCTGCCTGTTGTGTTTGTGTGTGTTGGAATGTGTGGGTGTGTGTGTGTGTGTGTGTGTGTGAGTTTGTGTGTTATGTGTGTGTGTGTGTGT